AAAATAAATTTATGGATGAAATTAAAAATAATTTTAAAAAAATCGGTGAAACTATGGATAAGGGGAGGTGTTTTTGAAAGAAAAATTTAAAATATGGGGTAAAATTATATATAAAAAAAATACGGCCATATGGGATGACTACGTCAGCAACAACGTCATGTAAAAACGCACCACGTGACGGACACGCTGACATCGATTCCACAAGGAGGCCACGTGGGCGATCCTCATGCCAGCAAATCCAATGACTCATATCGCATCTCGTGTGCATGGACGGTTCAGATGCGTTTCTTCTTCAGGAGCAATCAAATAGTTATATTCAATTTGATTGTGCAGCTTAGATTCATTTCTCGGCTAAGAAAAATCCAACGGACAGGAGAATGCCATGTGTTCCTGCACGGACAGCCCAGCTCGACTCGGGGAGGGCATTAAAACTTCGCATTCCAGGAAATCCTAACCCTAACTGCATCAGTCCTCGCCGGATAAGAAGAAGAAAGGTGGCTGAAAAGAAACCGACCACCGTCACCGCTGTACCGAAGCCACTGCCGATGCTGAAAAGGTATTTTCTTCCCCTTCTCGTACGAAATTTTATTCTAAACCTACTCACACCCATATCGGAGCTGAAAGGCCGACAAGTATGCCAAAAAACACGAGCGAAGTTCAGCCAAGTTGCTGCGGCCGAAACCCTAAAACTCATTCGATGAGCCCCTTTCCGTTTTTCATTTTCCTCAGTTTTCTGATCATTGTGTTCCTCGTCCCTTTTTGGTGCAGGTTAGCCTAAGGAGAACTCTGGTCTCGAATGAGGAACAGTGGAGCCGTCGCACCTAAAGACCCTTCCACCGGTAGGGTTTTGGTTTTCACATTCTAGCCTATAGAGGCACCATAGATTGGTTTTTCGTAGGTTTTCATGCAAAATCGGCCAAAACTAACCTAAACCGGTTGAAAACGGCTAGGTCGAGAGGAACCACTATCGTGGGTAGTGGAGCCAACGCCAAAGAATGGCGGCGCCGCTGTGTCAGAACCCTAAATTGGCTGAAAAAGTTTAAAAACACTTATTTTGGCCTTTTGGAGTATTTTTTGATACGTAACGGGTATTTTTAATTTTCGCATAAAAAATTCAAAAAACCTGAAGACTGTCAAGAGGCGCAGTAAAAAGTATGGTATTTCATACACTAATTCAGGATAAGAATTTCTCACCCTTTTCTCCGTTATGGTAATTTGAATATTAATAATCGATAACATTGTGTTTTGTAAAAATTAGAAAAAAAAAACCCTAAAATTAATTACAGGTCACAAATGGAGCTAGAAGTGGTCAGTGTATAATTGTCCTAACTCATTCGTGTTACCTATTTATTCTCTTATACTGTCTAAATTGCTTATTGTTATACCGTGTGCTTTAAATTGTAAATTTTAATTGCTTTCTCATTTATTGATTGCCTAACTGTTATTTTTTATTTGTTGACTTATTTGAAATAAGTACTCTAATTATGTTTCTTGATGGTTAAAGTATAAATTTGTATTATTTACTTAAATGTCATTCTATTAATCTATTAATATGAAATGAGATGTTGGTATGCGATTGGTGATTGACTGATGATGTGAATCTATGTATAAATGGTTTATTGGAAAAGGGTAGACAGATCTTGTACATAGAAAAATTCTATTGTGGATATTATCTCAATCGAATGGGGCTAAAAAGTCCCATAGCAGAAGGAGTTGGGAGGTACAGTTCACCATTGTATCAGATGGGGTATTGAGGCGGTAGCATGTTTGGTGCCCATTACCGAACGAAGCATGGAGATGGGCGATTGATTAATAAATTAGATATTGGGTTCACATGTAGGGGGATATCCCTATGAATCTCTAGGGGTATTGGTAAGAATGTAAGTTTATTGTTATTGTTCATTTAAATGTGAAATCAAAATACGATTCAAGTTATTGCTTTCGTAGATCGATTTTAGAAACTCATAAAGGTAAGTAGAAACTTACGTTTTTATATATAAAATAAATTTATTTAAGAAAGACAAATGACTCCATTGATTTTTTTATGATTTTTTACCAACTTTTGGTTTTTCGTATTAGTGTTTAGTGTGACACTATTACTGTCCTAGTGCAACTCATTCCCCTATTTAACCATTTCAGATCAAGAAGACTAACATTCAGATCTAGAACAATAAGAGGGTTGCGAATAAAGGTTACCTCCCTGACCCCATCAAAGTTGCCCAGCGAAGGATAACCCCATAGAATTTTTATTTCGTTTTATTTTAACTATTCATTCTGTTACTATGAACTTCTATAAATGGACATTTCTGTAGCCTTATTGGTCATCCTGATTTACTGTGTAAATAATGTAAACTCTAAATTTTAAATTGCTTCTGTTTATAGTTAATATAATTTAATATTTCCATTTCCTTAAGCTTTGAGCTTTTACACCTAATGTCTTTGGTTTTGTAGCATTTTCAGCCATATTCAAAATGTGTTGTTATTGTATTCTTTTTTTACCATCATATTTCGTGGTGGTCAATTTAGTCACTAATGTGCCTGCAAGAAACTTATCGCCGCATTTGAAATGCTCCTCTACAGATTTTAGAAATTCTGAAGCTATCTCAGTTTGAGGGAGGGAGGTCATTATGTTAGTGGCAACGATCATTCGTATAAACATAAAACTGAGTTTGTTTGACATTGTCCAAGCTTTTAATTATTTCATATGCTCTAAAGTACTATCATTGAAAGCTTTAAGACGTTTTTTAGTTATTGAAGCCAAGTCAAGATCTAACACATCCAGTGAGAATTGGATCCTTTCACACCACTCCAGAGTATTCGACCATCAAAAATTGTCATTCTAGACGCAAGAGAATATAATGCAGTGAGAACTGTACAAATAGGATAATACTCACAGTAAGGCATCAAATATATTCATAATATATAATTAAAATTTATAAATGATAAATTATTGATATCACTATAGATTTTTTTTGGGGCAAAATTTTAGCATATCTAGTGTTCACTTGAAGGAAACTTAGAATACTTATTACTTTATGTCATTTATATTTTACCATTGGGTACCCATCTAAATAACATAAAATAAACCATCATTTCATAATTAGTATAAATTGACTTTGTTTTTGGCTAGTCTCAATCTCCTAATTATGAATATTAAAAAAATTATTCTTTTATAAATCTCTCTTAATTATTTGATGTAGTTTAATTAATGTAAGATTCATCAACCTATGTTACTTTGATAACTATCTAAGTTAATAAATCTTAAATCATAAAATTACTCAATCATAATTTGTATAAAAAAATCCTATATATATTTATATTATGAAATTTGCCACAATATTGGTCAAGTCCAACTCCACACTTAATAGTTAGCATAATAAAAAATCATTATGATATATAATTATGTATGTTATCATCATATATACAACCATGATGTATAAACATAAGCCGAAAGTAATAAAATCACAACATATTAATGTCTTATTTTTTAAAAATAAACATCTGAATTGTCAATAATATTAGAATAAAGTCATAATTATAAATAGTATTAGAATATAACCATAATTCTAAGATGTATAAATTCAATTTACTTTGATACCAAATGAAAAAAAAAATTGATACGGAAGTTAATTTGCTTAATTTTATTGAATTCGACACATCTTAAGAAAATAAAAAATTTTGAGTTACATATCATTCGAAAATGATACAACAATAGCGTGATTGAGATATCTTTTGATAAAATCTTTAATTCTCTGACTCACTTCTTCTTTCTATCTAATTATTATGCACAAATATTTTATAATTATGCACAAATATTTTATAACTATAATTGATGAAAACATATTGTGAAATGAAAATATGTGTTTCTTTTATAGATAAGAGAATATGGTAAAACACATTCATGATAATTAAATATGTTAATAATCGTTTTTCTATAATAATTATTATATTTTATTTTTATAAAATATAATAATTATATAGTTAAATATAATTATTTTATTTTATTTTAAAATTACTCATTTTATTAAAAAATATATATTTTTATAATAGTTATATATTATTTATGTATAATTTTAGTTGAGTATAATTATTATAAATAGATGAAAAAAATAAAATATTAAGTTAAAGAATTATTTAATTAATTATTAAATTAATAATATATATATATATATTGAATTGACCATGCATGTGAAGGTGACATGATAAATAATAAAGAGAGAGATGGTGCATTAAATGTTTACACGGAAAAAATACGAAAAAAAAAAAGAAGATTGATTAAGGGAAGTCGAATCTATTAATTAGTCTCACTTAAAGAAAGAGAGACTTGCTAAAATTAAATAAATCTAAATCCAAAAGAAAAAAATCAAATGACAATTAAAGCCACCGTGTGGGACCGATTCAATTTTAACTCAAAGAAGGGAAACACGACATAAAATATATTTTTTTATCTATACATATATATATATCATAATTTATTAGAATAAATTTTAATTTAATCGTTGCAACTTTATTAATATATTAATAAAATAATTAAATTAAATATTATAAATTAAAAATTTTTATTATATAATATGCACATAAATTAGTGAATTTTAATTATTAATGAATTATAAATTTTTAATATTTAAATAAATATTAAAAATTTTAACAATTAAACCATCATTACCTGCAAACACCTATTTGTGATAAAATGCAAAACTTGGAATTAGAAACATCAAAGGAAAAAAAATTATATTGTTCTTGCTGTTAGCAAAACCCATAATTGCCATCATACATGTATATATGTAAGTACGAATATATATATTTAAAGTTATGATAATTATATGTACTGTAAATACGATTGGGATAAGGAAGACATTTTTTGGGATCTAAATTGTGTTTAGAGGTATTAATATTTTTTAATTACATTGTTTTGAATTGTTATATTTTAGTTATTTAATAAATTATTATTATGTAACACTGCGCCTACGGTAAAATACTTAATTGTTTGCAATTAAATAATTAACTGATCTTTACAACAGGTGGAATTAATATTAAAACATAAAATTATACAAACTAAAGTTTTAGGGACTTGATTGAAGAAAAAATTAAAACTTAGGAGCTTCTGTAAAATAAAAAGACTTAAATGAATAAATGTAAAACGGGATCAAACCGTAATTTTCGAAAATATGGTGAGATCTGAGAATGAACGACCAGGATTGTCTCACTTAGAGGCTGATCCAACTATTCTCAAACGCAGCTCAAATTGAACGACTAGAACGATGTTCGCTTGGATGAACAACCTAGATGAAGAGGCAAAACGAATGACTCAGATCGCGTGAGATGGACAGTTCAGATGAAGAGGCAAAATGAACGGTCCAGATCGTGGAAATGTCGATCCCGGCACTGGTTGCTTCTGCCCCACGCTAACTCTTAGCTCTTGGCTCTCCCCATAAGCTTCCACTGCCACCAAAATTTCCATTAGCTACATATGTATATATATATACACACACACTCTAGTTAGTTTAAAGTAATTTTTTTGATATAGAATGAATTTTCTTATACAATTCTATTATAAAAAAAATTTTAATCCAAAAACATCGTGATTCAATCAGAAAAACTCAATTTAATTATTATAATTTTATTAATAAATTAATTTTTAAAATTTATTGAATAAAATAAAATAAGAATTTACAATATTCCAACAAGAGTAAAAAATGAATGTATTGATAAAATTTACTTGTAATGAGAAGGCGAAATTCCTTGAAAAACGACGAGGGTTTTGGTGGGATCGATGTTGGTGTCAACCCAATTGCCCCATGTTGTGAGTGCGATCTCAAAAGCAAGCATACGATCCATGTCCTTTTGAACCTTTTTGCCTATTTGAATGAAATCCCATCTGCACAATTATAATTATGAGGTAAAATTTTTATAAGAATAGGAGTGGGATGTAAGCAATATATGTACGTGCGTATATAGATATATACATATATATAAACGTACGGTTGAGAAGGTCCTCTACGGTTCCACCAGTGCCAAGTGTTGAAGATGAGAACATCAATTCCTCTCCATAGTTTTCCTCCTTCGATTGAATCTAATTTCAAAACTCTCCCGATTGACTCTCTTACTACATCCACTAGATACACATTCCTATCAAGCATCACTTCCACTCCATACTCCTGCAACTCCCACCAACAACTTTTAATCAATTACCAATGTGAGCACATTAGAAGTACTCATATATATATATGTATGTATGTATAGTACCATGAATGTAAAGGTAGAGACATCTCCTTCTCTGGTAATGTTGTATTTGGCAGTGGGTTGTGAGGAATGGAGCATGGAAGTCAAAGACTGCCATTGATTTCTGCTTAAAGAGTCTCCCACAAACATTATTCTTTTCCCTCTCAATCTTTCAAACAACTCCACCCCATTAAATCTGCAGCTCCACACATCAAAACTCTTTTTATGTTTATAATTTATTATAATATTATTTGAATATTAGTCAAACCCACTATTCATTAATCGAGTCAAAAAGAATCAAACAATGAATTTGACTAACTACGAAATAATTAATTATTTAAAAAAAAAAAAAACAGAAAATCTTAATTAGAAGACTTGAAAACATAAATGGTCAAGCTACTAAAATTTATTTATTTTACTAATTAAAGAATATAATAGAAATAATGTCAAGATAGTAGGGGCAGAAATGGAATAGCAGGAAAAATGTTGAGAACAACAACTTCCACCGGAGATCCAGTGGGCTTGACCGCACTAGACCAAAAGAACAGACACCAGAATCCCTGTCATGCAACCAGATCGAGACCAGGACGCTCAAACTTTGACTCAAATCCCAATTGCAGATGGAAGCGCGTGGAAAATCCAACCAATTAAATAACATTCCCCATTTCTCGTTTTACCACGCGCTGACGGTGCAATTATTAATAAATGAAAGTTCACATGATTTCGTTACGGCCCACGTAACTCTCTCCAACACTTGGTGAACGCCAGATCTGTCTCTGCTTTTTTAACCCCCAACTTTTTTATTAAAAAAAAAAAAGTAAAAAATAAAAAAAAGATAAAACTTTTAATAATTTTTTTTTTTACTGTTAGTTAAAAGTAAAAAATATAAGGTCAAAATAAAACCCATAATAATTAACATCGTTAATTGTCTGTTAATTATTTTCGTTTAACGCAAAGACCAGTATTTACCGTAACTTAAAGAAAAAATTTTGTTTGTTGCTTATAAATGGCCCCTTTGTTAGAAGTACTAGCTAGCTTCTTCATATTAAGACAGACATTGAAGAAAATAAAAGATGTATATACATATATATACACATATGGGTAGAGGAGTGGCAATTAATTAAATTGACTAAGAGATGAAAAAGGTAAATCACCTGGGTAAATTGCAGGCGAGGGGCTGCCATCTGTAACGGGTATAATCCAGATCCGGGCGCCCATTTCTCTGACAAGCAAACTCTCGCTCTATGAAGGGACAGAGTGAAGCATTGTAAAGAGGGTAAGTCGGGTCGGATACCCACGTACCCGTAAACACATCGCATTCACCTGCATTTGCCTGCTCAACAACAAGATGAAGAATCCCAATAACCAGCAGCAAAGAAAATTTCTTCCCATCAACCCACCAATCCATTTCCCTTTCTCTCCAAACCCACCTAAACATATATATATATATAACACTATATATACACCTATCTCTATATTTTTATGTATGTATACATATATATATATAGGTGAGAGAGAGAGAGAGAGAGAGAGAGAGAGAGGGAGAGAGAGGCGGTCTTGTTATGTAACTCTCTTGTGCATATCCTATTATCAGTTTTGGTAAGATTTTTGGGAGGGGAGTGAAATTCTTAAATGAGGGGGATTTTTTTGCCATTTACTGACGGAGGAATGATTCGGTACATTCCGGTTCATGATTGAGACTGCATCAAATGTTGGCTAATGCAACTGTGGGACCCATATCCCTTGGCATCGTTGTTGTTGATTTTTCCCATCACAATCATTTATCCGCAGACTTGCTAAAGTTGTTCATCTATAGTTGGATTTTATTGTTTGTGGGAGGAAATTTTTTGTTTTTTTCAAAAAAAAAAATTATATTACTTGATAACGTAATTGAGATTTATTCTACTGTAATTTTATCAATATATTAATAAATTAAGTCTTCAATCTACTTAAGTAAAAAAATTAGATATTCTTAATTTATAATACACTTAATAAATATAAAATTTTATATTTTTAATAAAATTTAAATTTTATAATTTTTAAATAAAAATAAAAATTTTAACACTGAATTACCATGTTGTTAATTGTTTGTAGGAGTTCTATATTAAACACCAAGACTTGATTTCTTAGTGTTTAATATTTCAACTATTTAAACAATTATGTTATAATTTTAATTTAAGAAATTATTGCTTTTCCTAAAAATAAGTCATTATGAGCCAAACTGAACAGGAACTTATTAGCTTTACCAAGGTCTAAATAATCTTTTTCAAACAGTGTCAAAACTGAATCAAACAACTGGTGATCCAATCAAATATAACGGCAAACAGGTGAATGACCAATTCTGTTTTCAACATATACAATTATCACGTCACCAACATCAATAACCAAGCCTTGTTACCATCTTAATTTAAAAAGGCAGAAAGATCTCCAAGAAACTTTTTCATGCAGGAGTAAACTATACATGATGAGAACTTGTTGGGTTGAGAGCATGAAGTGACAAACCACGCGGGGAAACAATGTATACCATCTTGTCGATCATTCTCTGTCCTCGAAGTAACCGAAATCCAGATTTACTTAATAGAGATCAGCTGCCGATGTAGAAGGCAGACATTGGATCAACTGTCGATGTAGTGTCAGTCAGTTAGATCAAGCTGTTGGTAGTGCTTCTTCATAACCTCAGCACTCACTTGACTCTTAGAGAAACTTAAATCTGAAGCCAATTCGTTGACAGCAGCCTTTCCTTCTAGCACTCTGACAACCAAGGACATGGAAGGTCTGGCAGCAGCAACATGATTAGTGCATAGGAAAGCCACATTGATCATCACCATCAACTCTTTCTTGTTGAAGTCTGTTCCCAACCTGGGGTCAACTAGCTCCATTAACTTTCCTTCGTCCTTCAAACTTTCAGCCTGCACACACGAAGTGGATTGCTACCTCGCTTCTGCTTTGTACAAAGAGACATGCAAAAACAGATATAAAAAAAAGTGACGATCAAAAATTACCCATTCAAGAAGATAAAAAGCTTCCTGCTTTTGCCGGTGACTAGTGTTGCGCCTCCCACTAATAATTTCCAAAGCAACAACTCCAAAACTATAAACATCCGCTTTATCAGTTAAATGGCCTCGCATTGCGTATTCAGGCGCCATATATCCACTGTAAAACCAAGAAGAAAACATATAAAACGTAGTCCATGTTTTATAATCTAGAGAATAATCCAGAGAATAGGCTTTCATGATGTCACCCTTATCTTTAATTGCAGATTGGGGTAGGCCAAGTCAAAAGTTCTGGTATAAGCGAGAGTTTGTTTTAATTGAACTTAAATATATCTAGTCAAATAGTTTTTGGTTTTTCATGATCATTTGCACTTTGAACTATAAAAGAAAGTTTGCAAAATTTTTAAGATGGACTACAATGCAGATACTTACAAAGTTCCGGCAACTCTGGTGCTGATATGGGTATTTTCCTCTTCATCAAGTTTAGCCAATCCAAAGTCAGATATCTTAGCTTTGAGATCCTTATCTAGTAGCACATTCGTCGCCTTGATGTCCCGGTGCACAATCTTCAATCTTGATTCTTCATGCAGATATGCCAAACCTCTTGCTATTCCAACACAGATCTTCTGTCTTGTTGGCCAGTCTAATTTCAGCTGACATTCTTCTGGGCCTTCAGATTACCAACCAATAAAATTTTAGATACATTAATCTGCTGATTCATGAAAACTGTGTAACCCTTCAAAATTTTATTTGAAAGGCAAGTAAACTAGTCAACAAAAATTTACCAAATAATGCTCGAGCAAGGCTGTTATTCTCCAGGTACTCATAGACTAACAACAATTGATTTCCTTCAATGCAGCATCCATATAATTTTACAAGATGAGAGTGCTGTAGAGCAGAAATCATGCCAATCTCATTGATGAATTCGCGATTTCCTTGTTTTGATTTTGCAGATAGCTGTTTAACTGCAATAACAGTCCCATCTGCCAATTCACCCTGCATTAGTGAAAAGCCATCAGTGTCAGTTGCACAAGATGTTTATACTTTTGCAGGAATGAACAATGAGCATGCTAGATTAAAATGCTACAGGAGAAACATTGGACACTTGTATAGAATACCTTAAAAACAGGACCAAAGCCACCTTCCCCAATTTTGTTGGCTGGATCAAAGTTGTTTGTGGCAGCACAAATTTGCCACAGGGTAAATGAACTAGTTTTGAGGTCTAAACCAATTAGATCTGTAAAAGAAGCTGAGTTAGGTTAGAAGCTTTTGTAAGATAAAACTTTGAAGCTTCTGAATTCCTAACTGGGAGAGAAGCATCTCAAGTCGATATTAACTGTATTTTTCTGTTGGTCAAACTACAGAAAGATACATCGCGATCAGCAAACAAAATAATATATCAGAGAAGTACACGTTATAAGAAACAGAAATCTAATTTCTGAACAGTGCAACTACCTTGCCCCAGTGTGTTTTTATGTCTGAAACAGCCTTTCCACCAAAGAATACCCAAAACCAGCAAAACAACAACTACTACTGCAACTACGATCCCAGCCGCTGCATTTGCAGATGTAGCACTTACACTGCTTGGTTCTGCCGGAGGTACAAAGTCTGTTTAAAAGCAAGCACAGAAAGCCAAGGTTAATGAGATGACAATGTTTATATTGTACTACCAGATATGGTATCTTATACTCTAATAATTATGAAGATGAGAGACTTTTTGGTTAGTCTAGAAATCAGTGATTAATTTCAATGAATAAAAGAAACTCACAGTAGCATACGACTTACTAGGATTGACAGAAATAGCTGATATAAGAGGACCATATACTCCTCTAACAGGGATACCAGTTGTTCCCTTCCCAGCCCAATACAAGCGGATCTCCAAGGTACCATTGGTCACAATTGCAATGAAACTTTTTATAATCGCTTTACCAACACCTCCAGCTTTATCTGCAATATTGAAATCTTTCTGCACAAGCTTCCCCTGCAATAATCTAATCCAGTCAAATCATATATTCATAGGCAAGGATCGATATGGAGTTAGATCTCTGTCCTACTACCAATTTAATTAACACTGGAAAACATACACTTCTCAGACTTTTCAAGTTTGTCACGTATTGTGTGTTGAATACCTGAATGTAAATGTCGAATACACGCCTTCCCAGGCTATTAAATGTTTTATCAGCAGTAAACACAATCTCAGCAAAGTGGAGATTTACTGTGTAATTTCCATTTCCCATACAAAATCCGTAGTAAGTCAGAGTGATGGCAGAAAGGCGTGCTTGCATGTATAACTGTGGATCTTTGACAGAAAGCACACTGGAATTTGACCAAATATTTGTGTCTGATGAACGATCATCATTCAGGAAGTTCCCTGTGTTGCTAAGTCCCCAGTTACTTCTTTCAATAAATCTTGAAGGTCCAGCTCCATCTGTATCATCTAGGAATGTTGTGTTTCCATTAATAGTCACTGCTCTTCCACCGCAATTGATATGGAGACCAAAATTAGCTGGCATGGAAGGAACAAAATCAGTAATTACTGAACAATAAAATGTAGGTGAATTGCAATTTCACATAATGAAAAGAACCATATGAAATAATATGGTATAAATTCAAGAATTTCTTCGCACATTAGCTTAGGAACCAGAGCTGTCCTAAGAACTTACTTCTTTGACAGCGAAGACCGCTCAAACATCGGACCACCCCACTGAAAGCAATCCGAAATTGCAAACAACTCAGCATAAAAAGATCATTATTCAATTTATGTATCAATTAAAGAACATAAGACAGCCAAAAACTTACGAGGTATTGCCGTTTGAAGAGCTCGCAAACAAGTTCCTGCAGAAGAGAAAACAAAGCCCAAAAAAAAAAAGGAAAAGAAAGATTCCATCATGTAGGCAAGGCATGCAATTCACTTTTGCGCGCAAAAGCATGCAAAGAAAAGTTTATATACAGCATTCTTACACATTCTGCTGTTGACAAGTGCTTGATGCACCGGAGCTTGGAGTTGTAAAATTGTTGAACGAAAGATCCCTGCACATGAAAGTTTCAAATTTATATTGGTCACAGTTTCCACTTCCACTGCAAAGTGGAGACTGGCTGGACTTGGAGGAGAACTATTACTTTTCATTATTACTTTCCCATTTTTAGATAAATAAATTGGAGGAGAACTTACACGTCTTCACTTCCGTCCAGCAGCCAATCAGGTATTGATCCGCTAAGCATATTTCCAGTTAAATATCTGAAATAGTCGACACTAAGAGTTCAGTTTTTGTTTTCAATAGCATGATCAATAACAAAAGTTTCTCTTTTACTATGTTATTTCTAAAATGGTAATTAAATAGATGGAAAGAACTTCACATGAAATAAATGACATCTAAATGTTTATAAAATGTTACAATTTTCAGCTTTGTTTAAAGTTAAGTAGGCAAAGCATACAGAATAATTTATGGTAAAGAAATTGGGATGCTTACAAATTATCCACGCGTACCAGACCAGACGCACTGGCTGGAATTTCTCCACTCAATTTGTTAAAGCTGAGATCTCTGCAAGTGTATTTACAAAACAAAACATTAAAAACAAAGAACATGACAGTAATTTTGCAACCAGTTTATTTTATGATGAATGGAAGATCATAACCAACAAGTTAAGTAACACTCATAGTGAACATTATAATTAGAAATTCAACAGAACACGGAGTAGGAATTACAGTCAGTAGAATAAAAATGGTGTCTGCAACAAGAAGAGACAATAGTGTCTCTTAATAAATGTTTGAGAGAGAATCTATACTAACAAGAGCTTTAAGTTTGTCATGTCTCCCAGATATCCAGGTATTGATCCACTTATATTGCAACTCCTGAGAATCCTGAAATACAACACAGCATGAAGTATCAGTTAAATTGCACTCTCAAAAAGAATTGCTTGAATTCCATAGAAATGATCAGTTTTAATTGTCAACTCACAGTGTCTTCATCTTTGTCATGTTTTGAAGTGGTGGAAAAGAGGCTGCAGGTCCAGTTAAGTCAGTAATCCTCCTGCATATTTGATGAATATAAAGCTAAATATTAACTGAAATTACATTATAGAACTAAAACTTGGAAATAAGGTTGAGTTCGGTTCAGATTTCAACTTCATGGAATAAGAATAATAATAGAATACACAAAGCACAAAGTTCCAACCAAAATAGCATTTTAATTCTAAGTCAATTCCATGTTTGATTCAAGTTAGATGACTTTCTGATTTCTCTCTTAACAAGTAAAATACAAATACATCTTGGTGTAATTAATGATATCAATAAACTTAATTTAATAATGTATCAAGTATATAAATTGTGAGCAACTTTTATGTAATTATATCACTAAGATTGAAGAGCTGAGTAGGATTACAATATATTTGAACCGAACATAAACATAAGAGTACTTACAAATCAGTTAACTTTTCAAGAGTGGCAATAGTATCAGGAATTGGCCCAACCAAACCAGTTGCCTGCATGGCTCTGATGTCGCGAAATACATTAGTAATAGGAATTACACAGTAATAATTTCATCACATAAAGAGTACCACACTTGAAAGATCTCTCACATTTTTTCTATATTAGTCCAATTCTGAATAAAATTTGGAATCTTTCCCGTAAATCGATTGTCACTGATACGGCTGCATTGCATTCAAAAAAAAGAAAAAAGAAAAAAGAAAACTCCATCATTTTCAAGTGCAACGAAATATAGACATTAATTAACTTGACATTAGTCTAAAATAAGAAGCTTACAAGTCATTCAGTGATATTAGGTTAGCAAATGCTTCTGGGATTTCCCCGCTGAAGTTATTTGAGCTTAGCAATCTATAACATCAATGGAACAAAATAAATTCAACCAAGTGATGCATAAATGTAAATCTCAAAAACCTCTAACTTAAAACATAACAAAAGAGAGTCTGTTTACTCAAAAACTTGAATAAATGGTCTTACACTCTTTGAAGATTGGGTAGATGTCCAAGCTCCGGAGGCAACTCCCCTGATAGATGATTGGACTCTACAACTCTACATAAAAGTCAAGTTACAAATTTTAGCAAGTTTAAGGAAAATTTTTAAAAGATCTCTTTACAATTTGTAATTAAGGAAAAGTAATTAGTTAGTTTACAAAAAATACTCACAAACTGGCAAGAGTGGTAATATTGCCCATCTCTTTAGGAATCGGACCCGTTAGCCGGTTTCCAAGAAGAGAGCTGCAGTATTTAAAAGCCCTTGATAAGCAGTTCCTCAATCAAGTCTAGTCAATATGGGATATTATGTTTTCTTCTTTTATTCATCAATCACCACTTTTAGATAATTGAATATTGACATACATAGAGGATATATGGGTGTGAATGAATGCATTATGGTATTTAGATATATGACGAGAGGGAATGAGAAAGCATACATATTAACTAGTGGCAATGCACCCCATTCTTTAGGAATGCTACCATTGAGAAAGTTTCGATGGAGATCACTGTGTCGAATGACAGTTAAGTTAGTTGTTGTCTAAAACAAGAAGTTTGAAGTGTGAATGTAAAAAATGGTAATTTGAGAAATGAAGAGGAGCAAATTTGGCATGAAAGAAAATGGAAACTTCTACTTACATTTTTTGGAGAAAAGGGAGCCTGACAAGTTCTGGTGGCAGAGTACCCGGGAGACTTTGTGCCATGAGAACTCTGTGCTTCAACAGAGAATGAGCTTTTAGTGCTTAATAATATATGATAAGATTATACATATACATTCGTCAATGCAATAGACATTGTCCAATAAATAATTAGGTTAAGCTACTGCAAAATTAGCAAATTATATTTTACAAAACATGCTAAACAATTATATGTTGTATTGTTTATTTTTCCTTTCTTGATTGATTAATTACTCCAGTAATAACATTCCAAAATAGTTATCTAAATGTAAATAAGATTTTTAAGGAACATATTATTTCAATAAATATGAAATAATAATAATAACAATAAATGAAAAATGACTCCGCTTTTCATATACAAAAACAATATCTGGTTCTCTTCTCATGTTTATGCATGTTAACGTATTGTATTTTGATTATAATTTTGATACGTTTTTACTTGAATTTAAAAAAATATTGAATAAATTTTGAGTTAAAAATTAATTAATGAGTGGAATTTTAATGCAGGTTGCATAGGCGAATAAAAGAGGAAAAAGAGGCTGAAGATGGAAGAAGAAAAGAGGAAGAAGCCCAACAGACCCGCGGCAGCTGAGGTCAGTCCGTCTGCTTCAAAACGACTCCGTTTTGAAGCTGGGCACCAGAAGCAGCATTTGATCAACGGCACCGTTTTGCGGAGTTCAAAACGACGCCATTTGGAGAGGCGTACAGATCTGATGAAGAGAAGAGAAAGAGTCGCGCACGCCGAAGGAGGAGATCAGGAGGAAGAGGTGTGCGGGATTCTGGCCGCTTCCGCCTACAATGAGAGCTTGGTGGAGTACGGAGACGGAGCGCGACCAGAGAGGAGATCCGGAGTGCGAGCGGCGGCGGAGAGCACTGTGAGCGCGACCGGAAGTCATCGAGCTGTTCACCGCTGCAATTCAGATCTTTAGGACGAGTGCGACCGGAGAGTATGTTACACACCCAAAGCATCTCAGCAGTAAAAGGTGGGAAACTAGCAGTTGCAGTAGACTCGATCAGCAAGTAGTTGAAACCATTATCCCATTTTCAGCAAGCAGTTAGAAGCCATTATCCTATTTCATAGTTTCATGTTTTTTTTTTTTTTTCCTATTATCCTGCTTAAAAGTTGGAATTAGCAGTTGTATTTTTATGTATTTAAACTCTTCCGAAACGGCAATGAAGGCAGGCGATTATTGAATCTAAAATCTTGTGGTTTATTCTCACCGAAGAGAATTTTGCTACTAATTTTTTTTAGCTTCTGACTGGGATCCATCAGAGTAGAAACGAGCTGAGTGGAGAAAAGCAGATTTTACGGCCAGCCGAAGCAAGCTGGTGAAGCGGAGCGCGACCCGAGCAGTGGGATAAGAAGCCGAAACAGAGAGCAGAAGCGGACCTGCAGAGCTGGTGAAGAGAAGAAGCGGGAAAGCAGAGAGGTGGTGGAGGGAGAAGGTGAGAGACGTAATCGAGTGCTAGTGTTTGGAATTTTTCATACATTTATGTTTAATTATTACATGATTAACTGTTTTTTAATTTTAATTGTTGCTGTTCAATCGATTATCTGCTGCTAAATTTTCTTTAGCAGAAGATATTAACAGAGTCTAAATCAAATGCACCTTTGTGGTTTAATTTTCAACTTTCTTCTTATTATAATTTAAAAAGTATTGAACTTAATTTAATGGTAAGAATTTATCAAATTCATAATTTTATTTAGATTAATAATTTTAAAATAATAAAAATAAAATTTCATTAATTAAATATATATTATTAAACATTAGTCGAGACTTTAATATAATCAAGTTAACATTCAGAAATTGAATTATTAAAAATTTAATTGAATCAAATTAATAATTAGTATAAAAAATTATTAATTATTAATTGATTAGATTTAGGAAATATAAAGAGAAATACTGAGCATATATTATGAATATTCAACAACTAAAATTAGATTAAATTGATTGTAGAACTAAAACTCAAATATATTCAAAATTTATATGAAATCAATTACTGCTATGCGTTTATATTGATAGTTTTTTTAATTTAATTATTTTATTTTTGATTAAATCTATTTAATTTTTATATAATAATAAATTTTTTTATAATTTTAATACTTGACACACAATTCATATAGAATAATATTCTTTTTATCATTATATTAAGATTATGTGAATGATTTTTTGCGTTTGTGAATCGGCTTATCATCGGTGTTTTTATTCATAAAAGTTATATATTTAAAACAAAACAAAATAATTTTGTAAAAAATACTAAAATAATCATTTTCTTTATTTATTGTTAACTGTGTTATTTAATTCCATAAATAAAGACATATAAACTTTACTTAAATACTAAAAACTAAAAAATATTCTTATCTCAAACCCAATTATGAAACCCATATAATTAAATAAAATATAGGGGGAAAGGAACGAGTTGGAGCTGATGTCAAAAGTCAATAATGATGGATTTGTCAGGTTGGTTATTTTTGTATATTATTATGAACCAAGAAAAAATACGTACTTAGATTGTCGGGTTGACAAATTTTGTACATTATCTTTTTAATATGTACGTACACACAGACAACTAGACTTCAGTGTTGATGCACGTTTACTTTGTTTTCATTAGCCATTCATACAGCTTCCATTAAAACACAATTTCTCTTCCCTTTTTTTGTTTAGTTTCTAAAACTTAAATCTACAAATCCTTCAAAAAAATTTAATAAATATCTTAAAAAAAAAAAAACAAGTGAATTCAAAAAATTAAAATAAAAATAAGACGTATAATTATTTTGGTGTAAAATGGGGAAAATTAGTGGACTTACATACTAACGACGTGACACAGAGTATTGTTGGCGTCGCTGCAGTTACAGGTGACCGCATTCTCTAGTCCTTGGACCGGGTTCGGAGTGACCCAACCGGCCTCTCCACTGCAAGGGTCTACTCTAAAATCCCAATCCGTCTTCCCCATGGTTCTCGCTATGTCTTTTAAAGCTTGAACTGTATATTTCAGAAAACATAAATTACCATTAATGATTGCTTCTATCTGGTTGGAGTATAGACTATATATATATATACACACACACATACATATATAAACTTCTCACGACCTATTTACACAACCTTGATTTTCTTCACAGGTAATTTAAAATGAAGTTCAGAAGCAGAGAAAGGGTGAAACATATAAATTATGCTCCGTTTTTTCCGATGTTTCTCTTACCTTCATCTTCTGCGAGAGTGGCTGCAGAGACGAAATCGAAGAAGCAAAATGCAAGCAAGAAGTAAAACAGACATCGAGAGAAGTTCACCGTCTTCCTTGTTTTCAACATTTACAGAGAAAGGGACAAAAATGGTGAGGGATTTCTTCGATTACCGAGAGTGAAAAGTTGAAAGTTGTTCGAAAGAGATGAGACTGCAAAAGGAAACAAAACTCCCTGCTGAGATTTTTGTTTTCTGAGAGAGAACGGCGGACAGATCTTGAAGGGTGAGAAAGAGGAGCACAAGTTTTGAACTCAACACACTCTACCATGAAATTTAAGAACTGCAACTTGCACTACCTTAAGTCGTTTTACTTAAAAAAAATTAAAATTTCAAATATATAAATTAATTTTTTTTAAATAAAAAATAAAAAATCCTTTTTCTTTATAACTTTTTTCTTGATTTAACGTGACGCGTAATTGTTGAAAGAATCAAATTTACTGTGTCAATCGTGCAAGTTCTTGTTTTTGTTTACCTTTATTTTCAATTTAATTTTTTAATATACATATTATATTTTTCTTATAAATTTATAATTCTAATAATTTTCCTTTCTTTTTTCTTTTTAATTAATTCTTAGAAAATTTTATAGATATGGAAAAAAAAAACAAAAAACAAAATAGTTTTGTAATTTGATTTGAAATTAATGTTTATAGAAAAATCAAAAACCCAAACATATAGATTTACCATGCATGCATGTGAATGCGATGCCTACAAATACAATATTATATTTATATATATATTGAATTTACCATGCATGTGAAGGAGATGTGATCGATAGAGCTACATATAAATAATAAAGAGAGAGATGGATGCGTATATAAATAATCTATATATAGAGTTACATATAAATAATGAAGAGAGAGATGGTACATATATAAATAATATATAAATAGAGTTCTAAGGTGACATACTTTATGAACAGGTGAACCATATTTAATTGACACTAAGTACATTAGGTTTTTTCATACTCATCATAGAATATATAATAGGTTTCGGATTTGAGATATCAATTATATAATAAATATTATATAACCATTTTTAAGTAAAAATTTATAATTTTAATAATTCGATAACATTTTATGCATCAATAAAAAGACAATAAATATTTTATTAAAAAAACAGCATAACCAACGTTATAAAAAATACATACACGGACGTAGCTCGATTTGAACTTACACGCTTACATAAGTTAAAATTTATGTGTATCTTCATATGAATTATATGTTATTAACTTAACTGATAACGTAGAATTCGTTATTTTGTAGATATATTATGCGTTAATAGTGATTGATTTATAATATTTATTCAGTAAAATCGATAAATTAATTTAATAAATATGCAATAATTAAACTGAATTAAATTTAACAAAGATATTATACCTATGTACTAAATAAATATTCATAGATATTAATCAAATTGAGTTAAATTAAATAAATATATTATACTTTTGTATTAAATAAATATTCGTAGAGACTATATTTTATCAGTTATAATATAAATATAACAATTGATCTAAAAATTTTTATTGTTAAAAAAATGTTATCGACTCTTGATGCAGCTTTGAGATTAAAAGTAATTTGTGATAAACTATCTCAATTTATAAATTTTTATTTAATTACATAAACTATCTTAAAATATTTTTAAATAAATTAATATACAAATTTTAAAGTTAACAAAATATTGAAAATTATTTAAAAAGAATTATGATAAATAATTAAAATTTATACATTTTTATGAAAATAAAAAAATGACACATTTTATTAGCGTAATTCATTGTAAACTTTATATACAGTTACAGGAGGTAGTGTATCAACCAGTCAATACATACTACTACTACTGCCACTAGTCGCTATAAATTGTGTTGAGTCAATGTCATAAATGTCATTATAGTATTTAGTACGAATTGCTGGCGCCAACTTTGCTATTTCCTTTCTTATCATCATTCTAAAAAAAATATTATATCAATTATTATTAATAAATTAATTAATTAAAGTCATTTTTTGAAATACAACATTTTCAATTAGAAAATATAAGAAAATTTAGCATTTAAAAAAAACGTCATATAACAATAATTAACGATGATTAACTAATTATATATATACTTTGAAACTGGTCGGTCTTAATCAATTTATTTTAAGTAATTAATCAAACAATAATTTATTTACCAATAAAAACGAAG